AGGCCCTTCATAAAGCATTACAGAATAAAACAAAATCACAACATTTAATCGAATTGCTTGAAGATTTTGTTGAAGATAATGATGACAAGCAATATGAATCGGATAATTCGCAAGAAATTGATAGTCTGGAAGATGAAAAAGAAAATAGTGATTCTACGATTCTTTATATACAAAACCCAAAAATACACCGTAGTAGAGGTCGTTCCAAAGGTACCAAATGCTTAAAATCGGCACATGAAGTATCAAAAACCTACGGCAAATCAATGTCGATGCAAGAAATGTGGTGGTTTGGGCCATTAGCAGAAGAATTGCAAGATACTTAATTTTGTTGATATAAAATGTTGATCTAATTATATGATTGAAAGCTAACAAAATATTATTTGTACAGGTTTAAAGTTGTTATCAATAGTGGATACACTTGACCTCAATCGCTTCTTGATAGAGGCAGATTGGTCAGCCCGTAGAGGCTTTTCTCTTTGTTTTTCTTTTTTTATATTCCCCTGTCCCCCCATTTATTTTCCTTTTTGATTCCCATTTCGTTTATGTGTTTTTTTTTAGTTTTAGTTTTCTTTTTGCTTCTTAATGTTAGTTCTGTATTGGTGATACAGAATTTTACTTTCTTTTGCTCTCGGTAAAGAAAGAAAGATTGAAGGGATTAGTTCTTGACGGGCTGACAAGGTCTTCTGACACGTATGTAAGTCAGTGCGACAAGTCGCATCTGGGCGCACATGATGTAGCCGGGTGATGCCGGGCTTGCAATTTTTAATTAGATATTATTAGAGATCGAAACTGTGTTTTTAGTTTAATAGTAATATAATTTGTATTTGAGCATCAACAAGACTGTCAAAGAAAAAAAAAAAAAAAAAACATTTAAATAAAAAATCAAATAAGTTATCATTAGCAGTTACTTAAGTGAAGAATAAACTGGTTTAAGTTTCAAATAGTTAAATCCTAGCTATTTAACATCATTAGATGTACATATAACTAGTACTATGCAAAATCAAATCAAATTTTGAGTTTGAGTCAAATATTTGGTCAAATTCTTAATTAATTTGATCAAATAATTTCAAATATTTGACTCAATTCAAATTTTGATTTGATTTTGCAGAGTACTACATATAACCACATATTAGAGCTAGTCTTAATAAAATCAGATAGTAATATCAAAGTAATTATATATATATCAATACAAGGTTGCATAATGCATCATATGACATAATGTTGCATTATGTAATGCAGAGGCAAATAAACTTGCATTTGCACATCTCTAATAGTTTGTGTTATAGTTGGGGTTAAGGTTAGGACGATAGAGTTTTTATTGATAAAATTTCGTGAGAAGCATTTTTAATTAGGCCACAGGAGGTTGTTACTTAATTAGATTTGGAGTTATTTCTGTTTTTTTTTGTAAAAAAATAGTTTTGTTTGTTTATATTACACCTATAATAAAATGTGTGAGATTATAACTATGATATGTACGTAATAATGGAATTATCTGGTATTGTAAAATAATTTTTTCTATATTACACACTGGTTGAAGAATTAGTTGTGTAATATCAATAATTCCTCCTGTTTATACAAAGCGTCTTTTTTGTACAACTTCTAAAACTTGTTACAACTGTGAAAAAAAATAAATTTCCAACAAAAAAAATAATTATACTAAATTCCTTGTGCTTTACTTTGAAATTTTATAATTCTTTTAGTAATAAACAAATTAATTTTTTAGAATCAATAATTCTTATAAGATTGATTTCATTATTCAAAGTAAAGTTGATCAGGCTACAATCAAATTATTTACATGATAAATATGCAAATTATATTCTACAAATTAATAAATTTACAACTTTATTTCTGCAAAAAAAAAAGGAAATTAGATATTATTGATTTTTTTTTTTTTACACAATTGTATGTATTGTATACAAATAGGTATTAACAGTTAATTTACAAATTTGTATAACATGCTAATCAAATCAATTTTTATATCCAGAAAAATAAACCTTGCTTATAGTTAGGATAAGGGATTGGGTAGGTATAATATATACCAATATTTCACAAGAGATTTTTTGTTAGAAACCAAAAAGTGGGTTTACAATAAAAAATTTTGTAATATTGATTAACTTTCTGTATGTCTGTGTATACATGCCCCATGTGCAAATAGAAATTACCTTTATTTAAATATATTATTTGCTAAAATTTTTATACTTTTTTTGATAACTTTGACTCAAATTAACTTTAAACAACTTATTGAAAATATATCTAAAAGATCTTAAATTTATATTAAAATTTATTCAAAATTTTAAAATTTTATGTTAAACTAGACCAAATTTTAGCTTTAGTTGTTATATTTAAAAATAAAACAAATATTATACTTACTTAAATAATTTATTGTTTTCTAGTAAAAAAACTTTTAACTTTTGCAAGAATACTTCTTCTATTACCCACTATAAATATAATATATAAAATTAATTAATAATTATTACTATATAGTAAAATAAAAACTTTAAAATTATGTCAAAATTTATATTTACTTATAGGGAGTGCTTTTTTATTATAATTTATTAAAGTTATTGCACCTACAAGCTAGCTTAACTATGGTACCAAGTTCAAATCCTACTGGTGATGTTTTAAACAAAAATATCTGTATTATAGTAATGAATTTCTCAAATTGAATTGGGTTTATAGCCTGTTGCTTAGGTCACACCAATATCCCAGAGCACTAGAAGCTTCTGGAAGCATTAATGTTATTGCATAAAGGAATACAAACTAGTTTAGGCAGTACAAACCCACAATAAGTCTTCTGAAAATAAAAAATATTAAAGATACCTATACAAAGAATCTAGAGATTTGAAACTAGCTTGGCAAATCCTAAGTAAGAATTAGCAGACTTTCAATAGTGCTACAGGACAGAATAGAGAAGCCTAGAAATTGAAAGACTAGGTAACAAAGATTTTTAAGCAAAAGAATCTGCCAACTAGGCTGTTGAGATTATTAGAGCTATGCTAGTTGTATATTTATTAGTTAATTCATTAACTAGATAACTAGTAATAAAGATTTTAGAATGAGTTCCTAGAAGAAAAGGTATATGCTCTGAACACATATATCAAGGATCAGGAGACCTTCAGACTTGAGTCTAAAAAACTTGAGTTTGGGTAGATTAATTTTTTTAGGCTATCTAGATTGGAAGACAGAGACCAAAAGTATATAATATAAAGTAATAGAATAGGGTACTGGGATTTGTAAATCTTAAAAAAGGTAAAAAGTAAATAATGGAAGACTAGTTAGAAAGGTTGTATTTAAGAAACAAATTATATTATAGCAGTACTCTAAAAGGTGGCATAAGATACAAGCACAATAGTAGCAAACAATATATACTAATTAGGACAAAATTATTAAATATATATGATATATATGCATCTGTATATAAAATATAATAATGCTCTATTAGATTTACTTCGTGAATTAGCCAAAGGAGTTCTAAGTTGGCTATTAATCTAGTGGTATCATATAAATCCATATTTATAAGTAGCTATACTCAGATTAGATTAAGAATAGAATATTAAGATTTTGTAATCAGAAAGTTTTTTTTTTTGGTATTAAGGTGATCTCTTTGGCTATAGAGAACTCTTTATTAGTAATTATTTACTATTATAATTACAATAAAGATACAACTAGCTACATATACATCTTTTGAGTACCTATTTAAGTAGTTTGCCTACAGATTCTATACTAAATACCATGTGAATTTTGAATCTGTGTCTGGTTTGAATCATGAAACAACATCTAACTGAATATTGTATAACAATAATATATTAGATTTTATTTAACCAATCAGCATACACCTATTTAAAAAATAAGTATTTTGTATTTGCATTCATTACAAGATTATAAAACTATTACTTGTTAAAGAATATTATATCTCACATATTTAATTAAAATTTTTGATATTTAACAATTTAATAATGAGCTTACTAAAATTTATCAGTGTTTAGTATAAAAATATATTAATTACTCTATAAGAAATAAAAAGATATTTACTATAAAAATTATTAATTTGTTTACAATTTATTTATTATAAATATTTATCATGACTTATGCAAAGTCGCTGCACAAGACATGTTAAATATATACTGTTTACTTCGCAAGATATAATTTAATATTCAAAACTCTATTATCCAAGCATATTAATAAAAAAATAGTCAATGAATTCTTGTGATTACAACAAAATTAAATATTAAATACAGCATTACATATTGATATTAAAATTAGATTTATTTATTATTTCCACATAAAATACAATAAATCTAAATATATTTGGAATTTGTATCAAATTCTGAATCTACCGTATTTTAAAATTATGACATTTGCACACATATACAGCTTTTAATGCATTATACTAAAAAGTAATGGATGGTAATAAATAGATATTCATAATTGATAACAAATAATCTAAATTTTAAGATTGTAAATTGCATTAACTAAATAAGGATTAGTAAATAATAATGGCAAAATTGTGAATGAGAATCAAAAGCAATCAAATTGATATAATATATATGGCAGTGTACAAAACTCAGAAAGTTATATATGCCAGATATAAGAAAAAAATATATTTGGTTAGCGATTGTGATAATAAAAAAAAAATAATGAAATTAAGAATGAAAATACTTACTCTAGTATAATAAATGTTTTTCAAGAGATGGCTGTGTTCTATTCAAAATAATAATTTTAAAATAGATTTCATTACATCTGTCATAAGATTTAAATTGATTCAGAATTTTAAAGTTAGGGTTAGAATTTTTAGTATAATTATTTTTATTCTATTCTAAGTGAATTTTGAACCTGCTATGATTCTATTCTTATGCATAACAGATCTAACAATAAGATATAGTATTATATTATAAAAGCCACTCAAATTGCCAATTAAAAATCAAACTATAAAAAAA